CCTCGGCCTCGCCTCAGCCTGCCTCAGCCTCAGCCTGCTCAGCCTCAGCCTCAGCCTCAGCCTCAGCCTCAGCCTCAGCCTCAGCAGCCTCAGCCTCAGCCTCAGCCTCAGCCTGCCATCAGCCTGCCTCAGCCTCAGCCTCAGCCTGCCTCTGCCTCAGCCTCAGCCTGCTTCAGCCTCAGCCTCATCTGCCTTCAGCCTCGGCCTCAGCCTCAGCCTGCCTCAGCCTCAGCCTGCATCAGCCTCAGCCTCAGCCTCAGCCTCAGCCTGCCTCAGCCTCAGCCTCAGCCTGCCTCAGCCTCAGCCTCAGCCTGCTTCAGCCTCAGCCTCAGTCTGCCTTCAGCCTCGGCCTCAGCCTCAGCCTGCCTCAGCCTCAGCCTCAGCCTCAGCCTCAGCCTCAGCCTCAGCCTCAGCCTCAGCCTCAGCCTCAGCCTCAGCCTGCCTCAGCATCAGCCTGCCTCAGCCTCAGCCTCAGCCTGCCTCAGCCTCAGCCTCAGCCTCAGCCTGCTTCAGCCAAAGCCTCAGTCTGCCTTGAGCCTTGGCCTCAGCCTCAGCCTCAGCCTGCCTCAGCCTCAGCCTGCATCAGCCTCAGCCTCAGCCTCAGCCTGCCTCAGCATCAGCCTGCCTCAGCCTCAGCCTGCCTCTGCCTCAGCCTCAGCCTGCTTCAGCCTCAGCCTCAGTCTGCCTTCAGCCTCGGCCTCAGCCTCAGCCTGCCTCAGCCTCAGCCTGCCTCAGCCTCAGCCTCAGCCTGCCTCAGCATTCAAAATGTGGCCCGGGAATGGAATTCTGGGAACTCGAAGAACACGAAGTGGCCTACAGTTGGCTCCGGGCATTCAAAATCATGCCCAGGAATGGAATTCTGGGAACTCGAAGATCACGAAGTGGCCTACAGTTGGCTCGGGGCATTCAAAATGTGGCCCGGGAATGGAGTTCTGGGAACTCGAAGAGCACGAAGTGGCCTACAGTTGGCTCCGGGCATCCAAAATGTGGCCCGGGAATGGAGTTCTGGGAAGTCGAAGAGCACGAAGTGGCCTACAGTTGGCTCCGGGCATCCAAAATGTGGCCCGGGAATGGAGTTCTGGGAAGTCGAAGAGCACGAAGTGGCCTACAGTTGGCTCCGGGCATCCAAATGTGGCCCGGGAATGGAGTTCTGGGAATCGAAGAGCACGAAGTGGCCTACAGTTGGCTCCGGGCATCCAAAATGTGGCCCGGGAATGGAGTTCTGGGAAGGTCGAAGAGCACGAAGTGTGTGACTGTTGCATCCGGTTATTCAGAATGTGGCCTGGGAATGGGGTTCTGAGAGGTCGACGAGCACGAAGTGTGTGACTGTTGGTGAAAAACGAGCCCGGCACAGGCCCGGCCGGCAACTCCCAACGCCTGCCCGGACCCCCCTGTGGAGTGATCTGTGAGCTCTTTTGAATCAACTAGAAACCTATCAGTCTACGCTGTTAGGTAAAAACAGCCCGCCGCAGGCGCCGACAATTTCGATTTGAAAACTGAACGCGGGTGGATCGCAGGTTCTCCACTTGGAACGAATGCAAAAAAAAACCCGCCGCAGGCGCCGAAGTTTTGGCTCGTTCAGTGAACGTAGTTTGGGTCGCGGGTGGGTCGCGGGCTCTCCACCTCCACCTGGGAAAGATTCAAAAACAGCCCGCCGCAGGCGCCGAAAACTTTGATTTGTACACTGAACGCGGCTTGGGTCGCGGGTGGGTCGCAGGTTCTCCACCTGGAACGAACGCAAAAGAAGCCCGCCGCAGGCGCCGAAAATTTTGGGTGGGTCGCGGGGTGGGACGCGGGCGCGCTTTGGGTCGCGGGTGGGTCGCAGGTTCTCCACCTGGAGCGAATGCAAAAGAACCCCCCCGCAAGCGCCGAACATTTTGGGTGGGTCGCGGGCTGGGTCGCGGGTGGGTCGCGGGTGGGTCGTGGTGGGTCGCGGGTGGGTCGCGGGCGCGGTTTGGGTCGCGGGTGGGTCGCCAAAGGGGTTCTCGGGGTGGGTCGCGGGGTGGGTCGCGGGGTGGGTCGCGGGGTGGGTCGCGGGTGGGTCGCGGGGTGGGTCGCGGGTGGGTTGCCGGTGGGTCGCGGGTGGGTCGCCGGGGGGGTCGCCGGGGGGGTCTCGGGGTGGGTCGCGGGCGGGTCGCCGGGTGGGTCGCGGGGTGGGTCGCGGGTGGGTCGCGGGTGGGTCGCGGGGTGGGTCGCGGGTGGGTCGCGGGGTGGATCGCGGGTGGGTCGCGGGTCGGGTCGCGGGTGGGTCGGGGGGCGGGTCGCGGGCGGGACGACGACACAAACAACAAACAACAAACAACAACAAGAATCCGCATCGCGGAATTCCACTTCAGCCACGCACCCAGGGACAGTGAATGACCGCTCGGTTCAGCCCCCTCACTCTGATACATATATATATATATATATATGTATATATACACTCACCCACGCTAGGCCACGCACGCTCAAGTAGGCTGGATGGTCGATTTCTTGGGGGTTTCTATTTTATGTTACTTCTTCTCCGGGGTTTATACGGTCCATCTGGCCTCCAAGGGCGGCCTTAGTTAGACAGGCCCCAAGAGGCATTTCGGGCCCTCTTATTCGCCGCGGCTGGACGTCCCGCCTAGTTCGTCTCTCACTTAGCCGAAGTCGGGCCCACAGTTTTTCCCTGCCAAAACGCAACAAGCATCGTACTTCACATCCGACCGATGCAACAAGAAAAGACGAGATTGGGGATGCAGAGTCCTTCTCGAATTTTGTGAATCGCCGATGACGACGACGACGATCAAAACAACGATGTGCGCGTTCACCACGACGGAGAGAAAGACGTGGAGGCAAACCGGGACCGATTTTCCTTGGACGTCTCGCAAGGCGAAACGTTCTGACCAAGATTTCGGGCCGGACCCGTCTGTGAAGGTGGGCCAGCCCCTAAGCGCCCAAGTGGCCACACCCAGGGAGGCGTTTCGTCTCTCTTCTCTCTCCTCCTCCTCTTCCTTTCTCCCTCCTCTCCCGCTTCCTTTCTTCCGGGCTCCTCCTCCTCCTGCTCCTCCTCCTCCTCCTCCTACTCTCCTCCTCCTCCTTCTCCTCCTTCTCTTTCTCCTCCTCCTCCTCCTCCTCCTCTTCCTCTTTCTCCTCCTCCTCTTCCTCCTCTTTCTCCTCCTCTTTCTTCCTCCTCCTCCTCCTCCTCCTCCTCCTCCAGCTCCCCCTTCTCCTCCTCATCGTCCTCCCCCTCTCCCTCGTGTTCCTCTCTCGCTTCACCCTGATGATCCGCATCCTCGTTGTTCTCAATCTTTCCAGGACCGATTTTCCGCCGCGGGCGGGTACACGAACCCCCAGGGGCCGAATCGTCAAAATGCACAGTCAGGCCCCGGGGCTCGCCAGTTGACCGCTCGAGACAGAAGCGGGTGATCATGAGCCAGCCAGGTGGGAGAGGGCATGGAGGCGAGACAAGAGAGAGGACAGGGGATGGCTGGGGCAACGATGGGTCCGAAAATCGGGCCGTCTCCCGTTTTGGGCTGTCTTGGGCTACCTTGAAGCTCTCTGGGAGTCGTTGGGGAGATCTGGGGGTCTCGGGGCTTCGTGTGGCCTCTTGTGGGCTTTCCTGGGGGCCTCGCCGAATTCTCTCGGGTACTCTTTGGGGCCTCTTGGGGCCCTATTGTGGGTCCTGTGGGGGCCTCTTGGGACGTCCATTGGCGGCCTCTTGTGGGCCTGATGGTGTCCTTGGGAGCCCACTAGGGGCGGAAGGCTCGAAATGTCAGTTGGAATTCTCCGTCTTGGGGCCCTCTTGGCGCCCTCCGGGGGCTCGTGTGGGCCGTCTTGGGCGCCCCTTGGGCCGTCTGGTGGTCATCCTGGGGGGCTTCTTGGGCCGTTTGGGTCTGTCCTGGGGGCCTCTTGGGACGCCCGAAACGAATATGCTAACCAAGAACTGTCGCAAAAGGAATGGGACGGGTTTTGCCTGTTGGGGCTGTCTTGGGGACTATCTTGGGGTGCTCTTGTGGCGTCTTGGAGGCCTCTGAAGCCGCTTGGGACGCTTTGAGATCCCAAAGTCTCGTGGTGGCCGTCTTGGGGACGGCTCGGGAAGCGAAATTCCTCGACTGCGGTCCAAGTGTTCGGAGAGCCTATCTTTGGCATCCCAAGGCTGGTCGGGGCGTCCCATGCAAACCCGTGGTCGTGGTCCGGCCCCCTCCGACTAACGTCGGGTATATGTGTTTGTGTATTTTTTTTTGCTCAGACAGCGGTAAGCTCTAATGCAATGCGCAATCTCCGATTCAATTGGTTTAACGATCGCGCGAACACGGATGCTTATCCCGACAAAGTAGATGAAGTGGCAAACTATTCTTGGACTTATGCTCTACTGATCTACTCAATCGACGCTGCACGCACTATTCCCGCAACAATCCAAAGTAGAAAAATGTCAACATTGCCCGCACAATGATACCAAAGAGATGTATAAGAAAGCAATCACAATCCGTCCATCCACTCCACATATCCTGTTCCATCCATCGAACTTCACAACTTTCCCCTACGCTACGAAGACCGATACGGAATCAATGCTCGTCCGGAATCGTCCACTTCACCAGTTGTCCAATAACAACAATCCAATGCGATCTCATTGAAATGCCGTCTGGCCTCTGGAGAGAAATCGGGAGAACGAGAGAGATAGAGAAACATGTTTCTGGGGTTGGTACACATACAAGCAAGCATTAAGTAGGGTTGCTCATTTTGTTTTGTCAGTTTGCTTCTTGTTGTTGCTTGTTTTGGACCCTTGGACCCTTCTCAACAGGCACAAAGCATAAGTACATTGAAAGCCAACTTTCAAAACAACTCGTGACAATTCGAACATCCACGTCGGGACCAACACATGACAAATTTGAAAGCAACCTCGTCTGAATTAATCGGCGCGCTAAACATATGCACAATGAAAGTCCAACTTATGTTTGAAAGACAAGCGAGGCACACTCAACTCATACAAAAGCATCAACGCAATTGCACACTGCACGCAATAGGCAGCATCACATCAATCTGATATTGTAGCACAAGCCTCACGACAACCTAAAAGCAATCGCGACACAACACAACTTGTCATTTTTCGTGTTCGGGCCCGTTTTCAGCGCATGCCTATCCCACGGACATTCAATCGTCTAAGAGGCCCTCATGCCTGGTCCAACAGGCAACGCGAATCAACTTGGTGCTTCACTTTTGGCTCCAAACGTTGGGACGCACATCAATACTACGATTCTTCAGTCGTCTCGGTGGAAGCGTGATTAATCAATCTGGCTTGGCTCGCTGATGGGTCCAAGCCGTAATGCTTCTTTTCCAACGCATGTCTATTCGACGATTATTGAACTCTCTCGGTGGCCTTGCTTGTTGGTCCAGACGTATGGGTGCCGTTCCAACGCATGTCTGACCCACTATCGCCTCGGTGGTCATACTTTCTCGCCACAATAACTGACGTGTGGTTACTTTGGTGGATTCGCTGTTAGGTCAAGGCGCCAAGGACCTTTTTCAACCTATGTCTACACTACCTCATTTTCTGCTCCAACAGAGAGCTTCGAAGCCAATCCCACCAGCCCTCTGGGCGTCGGTGGTTCAGGGCGTTTCATCTTCCACCCCTCCCTCTTCCCCTTCGGGGAAGGGTTTCCCCTCCCCCTACCCACTCCCCCTGGACCTGGACGGGAGGGGTGGGGAGGTGTCAGGGCGTCCAAAACGGCCTCGGCGACAAAAAACAAAATCATTGATTTTACTAGGGTTTTGGCACCATTTTGGTCCCCTGAGGGGGGGACGCTAATTAGTGCCCCCCCCTCCTGTGATCGATCTCCTCCAAGATGGCCCCGAGAAGCGCCCAGGAGGCCCCAAGAGTGCCCCAAGATGGCCCCAAGAGGCCCCCAAGAGGCCGCCAGCAGGCCCCCAAGAGGATCCCGAGCGGCCCAAAGAGGCCCCCCCGAGGCACCCAAGACGCCGAAAAGTCCCTCAGGACGGCCCTCTACTCGCCTGGGCGTCGTTTCTGGATGGGCTGGTGAGGATTTTTTTGATTGGCGGCTCCAAGGACAGCTCCAAAGAGCGGGACGGACTCGGCTGGGGCACAGGGCGAGATAATTAGCGGCAGCGGCGCATAGGCCGCAACAACGGGTGCACGTGCCAGGGACAAAATGCCCCTCATTGGACGCATGCGACCCGGAAGCGGGGATGCACGCATCAAAAAGAAACTGACGGAAGAGAAGTCGCACAAGTGGCGCCAGCTCTGACCGTACCGAACAGCGCGCAAAGGCGTTGATCACGCCGTGCTGTGGCGGCACGGAGGGGCCGGGGTGGCCGCGCTGTCCAAAATGACGAGGACGCGAAGGAACGGGAAAGGCACGGCGGGCGCGAGGCGAGGACAGGGGAGGGGGGGAACAGAAGGAGGCCTCACTCACATGGATTCATGGGAAGCACTTGGGCATGTGCGACCGACCTATGCAAGGATACGGCGGCCCTGTCTTCTGAGTCCACGACCTGCAACTTGCCTGACTCTGAAAATCGGGGGGTACAGCTGTAAGCACTGGTCGAGTACCCCGGACGAAACTGAGGGGGGGCCGAGATGAACTGCCAAAGGATATACCACTTGTGCAGTAGCAAGAACTCGAAGGCGGCGCCCGCCGCGGGAAGCGGGTCGTCCACGTCGTCGGCGTACAACGCGGGCAACTTATTCGTCACGGGGGACGGGGGCACGAAGTTGCGAGCGCCAACCGAGGTAACAGGGGCGGACCTGCTGGGGGAACAGCGGTGACCTGCCAAAGGACGAACCACTTGCCAGGACAGCGCTCACCTCAGGTCCGGCCTCGGGTGGTGCCGGAGCGGGGAGGCGCGAAGGTCTGCACCTTGCCGAAGCCCAGCACCTGGAGCGCCGCGAACCAAACGTAGGCCACGCGGGCGATCCGCGCCCGCTCCAGGGGCTGGAGGAGCCCGTGCCTGCGGGGAAAGACTGGCTGGTGGGGGTGCTTTTTGATCTGCGGCTCCAAGGGCGATTCCAGAGAGCGGGTCGTATCGAGCATGGGAAGGCGCGCAAGATAATTGCCAGCGGGCCAAAAGCCAACGCCGGAATGCAAATAGCGAATGCACGCAGCGGCGTTCCAGAGAGCGGGTCGAACCGAGATGAGGCGGCACGCTAGATAATTGCCAGCGGGCCAAAAGCCGACGCTGGAGTGCACGGGCGCCAGTGAGCGCGAGGGGGAAATACGCGCAGACCGCGGCCCCGAGGACGAGCCCCGAGAGCGGGCCGGAACTACTTGCCAGCGGGCCGAAGCCAACGCCGGAGAGCACCGGTGCCAGAGAAGGCGTAGCGAGCTTGGGGGGCCAAGCGAGATAATTACCAGCGGGCCAAGAGCCAACGCTGGGGTGCAAGTGTGAAGCGAGATAATTGCCAGCGGGCCAAAAGCCAACGCCGGATGCACATGCGAGGACCAGGAACCCTCACTCACGGAGCAATTGAGGCGCGTGGACAGCTGCACGTCACCAGTAGGATTAGTACAAGCGCAGCGAGGGGGGCGTGTACCTTTCCGCCGACAGCACCGCGTAGAGGTGAGCCCAGGCGGGCAAAGACCGTGCCCGAAGACGGTGCCCGCGATGAAGCCGAAGTAAGCGTCTGCCACTGGGGGGGTGCCGCATCAGAGACGTGAAAGGACGGAGAGGTGGAACGATGGGGCGGGCCTTAGGCCGACGTACCCATGCGCTCGACCGCCCGGGCGGGCGAGGTGGGCCCATGCTCGAGAACCAAGCCAAATCCCATCGTGTGCGTGGATTATTTCAGCCGACGCCACACGGGCTAAGTCACGGTGCGCCGTGGAAGACAAGCCGCAACCATGCCATCGGGTGCCCCGCATCCAGGGGGGGAATGCTGGGGGAGCCACGATCTGTCGCTGAGTTGAAACAACCACGACGAACGCCCTGTTGTGGTTGTGGAGCGAAGGGGCGGGCCTTAAGCCTACGAGCCCAGCCGCTCAAATGCCCGGGCGGGCGAGGCGGGCCCGTGCTCGCGAGAGCTAGGCCAAGTCACACCGTGGGCGTGGATTATTTCAGCCGACGTCGCACGGGCTAAGCCACGGTGTACCGTGGAAAGCAAGTCGCAACATGGTCCTGCTGGAGTCCCACATCCAGGGGAGGAATGCAGGGAGTGCCACGACATGTCACTGAAGTGAAACAACCACGAAGGGCGCCCAGCTGTGGATGCCGGTGAAAAGAAGGGGGGGGGCGCAGCCGATAGCCGCAGGTCAAGTGAAAATGTGGGAACCGCCGAGGGCCCAACGCCCAGCATCAGCCATGGACGCACGCAGCGTGGTCGGAAGGTGGCCAGGGTGGGGCCTGTCATTGAGGGAACGTAACCAGGTCGCTGCTGTCAGAAGCGCTGGTAATGGAGCGAGAGGGGGGGGTGCCTTTGTCCTGCAGCCCCAGCCGTCCCAGGTGGGTGCGCGGCGGGCACCTCGGGCCCATGCCAGAGAAGAGCCCAAGTGAACCGTGTGACGGAAATATGGCGGCCGTAACCACACGGGCTAGAGACCACGCTGAGCCGTGGGAGTCTAGACGCAGTGGGAGTGGCGCACCTCGTTCCCAAGAGGTGGCACGAATGTATTAAGGCCGGGGCCTGCCACTGCGGTGAAACCAGCCCCTGCTGTGTAGGGGCTATCCGCGGAGGGGCCTGTGGGGACAGTCCCTGCAGCCTCTGTATCCTCGTGACCTCTGCTCCTGTGGGCGGCAAAAGGGCGGTAGAGGACCATCGGACTGCCGACCCACTGGGCCCCGCAAGGCACGCCGGGGGACCAAATGGCCCACAGGGTCAGCACAATGGAGACAACCTTGTATATGGAGGTGGGGGCAGCCCCCAGCTGTCCGAGGTCGTTGTCGTCTAGAAAGCATGCGCGGCGCTCTGATACGGGTTGAGTGGCGACTCGTAGTATGGACATGACTATGGGGGAAAAGCCTTGAGCCGCAGATGAGCTGCAGGACAAAGCGGGGAACCCTCTCCATCTGTCTTCCACGGAGGTGCTGCCTTCCTGGGCCTGGGGAGAGGCAGTGGGGCAGCGCTCCGACAGGGTGGGGCCGTCAGGCCCACTTGCAGGCGGAGTCCCATCCGCGCTGTCGTTTGTCAGCATGCTGAGCGTCTCCTCTGGGGGCCGAACGTTTCTCCCTGGTCCTCCAGTCGGAGCCGGACCACGTGTCCTGGCGGTGGTCCCACCTTTCCCATGCCTGGCATGTCTCCCATCGGGCTGCGGCACTGGGTGGGGTTGTCTGCTCGGCGACCCTGTAGTCGGTGTACACTGGAGGGAAGCAGGCGGCCTCCTTTGGTTTGCTCCATGGGTGCCGTCGGTCATCCCTGGTGGGCTCGCTTGAGGCAGCCAACTGCGCGGGTTCCCTGTCGTCGGAGGGCGCTGAGGGGGGACAGGGCGCCGCCTTGCTGCCGTCTGCCCATGGGTATGGGCGTGCGCCACCCTTGGGGCCGTCGTGGTGCGTCCTGGTGTTACGCTGTAGCTGCTTGCGATCTGTCCGTAATGATTGGCCAGTCTACGCGGAGCTGGTGTTCGTCTTCCATCCTGTAGGCGTCGAAGCCCGCTTTGCCCCATGCCTGAAGAAAGTCTTCGCGAAGCTGCGCGGAGTTCTTCTTGGGGTCGGACTTGATGCTGACCCATGGGCCCCCGTGCTTGCTGGCTGACTTACGCACCCAGGCGGGCCAAATCCCGTTGAAGGCGCCTCCCAGCGTCCTCTGCAGTCGGCTGATCTTGTCTTGTGCTGGCTCTTCCTTGTTGGTGTCTGCTTCGCTGATGGAGCTCAGGTACATGGGGAGACCGCGCATGAGGTCGTCAAGGCGCGCCTGTGGGATGAATGTAATCTGTGGCTCGCTTCCTCGGCCTGTGCTGCGCTGCTGCCAAGAGGCTGGGGGGCTCAGTGGCGGGCGCTCTTGTTGGCTGAGAGCGGCGTCCTCGGGAATTGAGGTCGGCCGGGGTTCTGCCTTGTTTTCAACTAGCCTCAGCCTTCTGTCGAGCCTCTGGTCGTCGCACATTGCGGCCTGGTAGGAACGCGAGTACTCCCTGGCGTACGGCGACCAGGC